GATACTCCTGTTTACTGAGCAAGCAGCTCATTGTGTGTTAGGCATCAGATTGAATGATATGTACATATGTTAACGTGTAAGATAGTATCAGATAGAAGTCATTACTGCGCTGTTTTGGATGCAGGAACAAAAGGTTACATCATTTAACTGTCTTGCTTAAGCCGAACAGCTAAGAAGTAGCAAACCTATGACTTGAGCCTGGATCTTTCTTATCCCAAAGCTCATATTCTTTCCACAGTGCCAATCCGCTGGAACAAAAAAAAAGATCTGGAGATGGGTTAGTTGAACTACTGAAGGAAGAGGAAATGTTTGTCACCAAGAGGGAAGTAACAAAATAAAGGCAAACGTAGTAGCTGGATACAAATATTGAAGTCATTGTCAATAGGTTTATTTAAGGTGTCAGAGAAGAGACGGAAGGTGGACCTAGTCTGGGCAGTTGCCATTGTCAACCACTCGCTCTAAGTCAACCCCCTGCACCTTTTCTTTCAGTCCTGTGAATGAGGGTCAGCAGTATGACCACGCCCATTGTACAGCTAGAGAACAAGGAGCCAGAGCAGGAGGAGGTGTGGCTAAGTCCAGTATCCCTGCAGAGCCTCTGTTGAAATCTAGGTCTGTCCTACCCTCAGGCCAGTCTTCGTACCCATTTTCCTTCACTGAATTCCTGTGGGTAGATTTCCAATCAACATAAGGGAATGCTTCCAAGTAATTAGAACCTTCCCAAAAGGGAATGGATGCTCTCTCGGGAAACAAATTGCCTATCACTGACAAACCCTGACTGACCGAGATGTTGGGTTCCAAACCTGATGTCTTCATGGTTATTGGGGATGTGTGTGTGTGTGTGTGTGTGTGTGTGTGTGTGTGTTTTAATCTGAAATTCTATTTTTATTCTATGACCACCATCCTCAACAGAAACACAATTTTACCTGTAAATTACTAGTCCAGGAAGCAGGGGAGAGGTATTACTGGACAGTCTTATGGATCTTTATGGCTTTGTCCACCCGAACTCCAACATAATGATAAATGCCAAGTATAGTTTATCCAAGAGATTGTGAAGTTCTCACTCTTTGTGGAAAGTATATGGACGTGAGAATCTGCATGGGCTCATTATTATGTTTTATTAAATAAGGGAAAATTATAATTCTGTGCATATTATGAAATGAAAGCAAGAGATCTTTGAACCTGAAGATGAGCAAAGCCTTTCAAACCCTTAGGACCATCACTACTTTAATGATCTGCATTAGTGCCCTACCCTTAGTGATTATGGTGAGAGGTGAGAGGACTGACCAGGACACTTCTGGAAGCAGGTTCAGAACTACCGTCATCTTAAGAATAAAGACAAAGAAAGAGGGAGAAAGAGAGAGGAGGTAAATCCCTGAAATATGGTCCTCCTCCCTCCCAGTTTTGATTACCCACCCCACCCCCATCCACAGTTTTTAGGCAAACCAAGTAATGAAGAATAAAGGTTCTCGGTATGTACTTCTGTATCTAGAAGTCTAGAGCTGAGCCTTTACCTTCTGGATTTAGTCATTTGCTAAGGAATGAAACCCCATGGGAAAGAGTCCTACTTCTTGGTCCTGCTGGTAGAATGTTGTCTCTATTCACCAAATAATTATTTTTGGCTGCATAGAGATTGCTTACTTTTTATAACAACGCCTGGCACTTCTGAACTTAGATACAGCAAGCAGAGTGGTCTCCAGAGAGCTACAGTCCAGAAAGAGTGACAGCTTCCAGGCAGAGGTTGTCACCAGATGGTCTGAAAAGGAGCTTTGTCTGTTAAGGTTACATTAACCTTAGCCCGCCGCTGCCCCTGCATACTTTCCGTATCTCTGTGCCTTGTTGGCTTGATAGTTTGCATTCATCTCTGCTCTGTCAGTTTTAAATCCAGCTCTCAGTCCTTAAGGGCATTACATAATAAATTAAAAACTTGATCAAAGGAATTTTATGTGTGATGCGTCTGAACTAACTGGTCCTGACTTCCTGTGGGGAAAATGAGTAGCTGGGCGGATTACATTAAAGATTCTCCTTTAACGATGGTGGGAATGCCTGTCTCCCACATGCCAGTCACTGTGCTGGCCCTGAGAATGCCAAGAGGGGTCCTTGCTTCTTCAAAGATCTCCTGCACAAATGTCATAGTGTGATGCACGCTGTGACACAAGGGAGCCCCAGGGGGTTAAGCAGCTCAGACTGCTGAGGGAGAAAGAAGGTTTCTCTGATCCAAGTCTTAAAGGATCTGCAGGGTGTCCCCAGGGATTGCAAACTCAAGAGGATGTGTGTAGCTGGCTCTGCATACCTGGGTAGGTCAGGGCTCTGGAATGAGATGGAAACAGGGCAGATACTCAAAAGTAGAGGGGCTGGGCTTTATCCTGCAGACAGTAGGAAGCCTTTAGATGGTTTTAGGATAAAAATAGTGGCGTGTAGCCTGTTTTTAAAAATATCAGTGCTAGCGCTGTAAAGAGTGGGTTGGCAGTGAGGTAGGAAATAGAGAGACACATCCTGGGGAATGCATTGTAACCGAACAAAAGCAGACTTTGGAGATGAGAAAACCAAATGAGGGACACTCTGGGAAGAAGTGCTGAGAACCTGATCATGGGGAACGGGTACTGGCAACAGAGGAGGGAAGGACTCAAGGCCGGTCCCTAGATTTCAGTCTTGAGTGGATATTGTGCTCATTGAGGCCATGCAGAAGAGAAGGGCAAGGAGGGGCTAATGGTGACTGTAGGTAGAAGACAGGTAAGGCTGAGAAACTTGAGTCTCCAGGAGCGAGGATGTCCAGGGGACTGCTTCATGAGCCTAGAGCTCAGTTAGGAGAAACGGTGGCCCAGCTGTTGGCTTGATTGCTTCTTTGCTATTAATATCTATTAATATATTAATAACTTGACATATTTAGAAGGCTGAGGGGGATCCTGTGCACCCTGCAACCTCAGATTAGTTCTCTAGGAAGCCATGGTGTCTATTTGAAGATGAGACACACCAAAATACCTCGAAAAGAATTTAGCAGAGGGAATGTGGTTCCCTTCCCAGGGTCCTTTGCAGTGTTCTTAGTCTCAGCCCGCTTTTCTTTTTAGTGTTTACCAGTTTCTAGGAGTAGTCCCAGTTTCTAAACTACTTAGCAGCAAAATTGGTAAAGAGAAGTGAAATGGTATGTTACTAAACATTCATCTTCTTGATAACCACACAAGGTATTTCTATGATCAGCCCTACTTTGTAGACAACACATTTAAGCTTCTAAATGGTTCCATTAATTCTAGCGCAGTAAATAACAAACTTATAAAGCTGTAGACACTAAGTTCCATCCTTTCGTCCATATCCTTAACACTATTTTTTTTTAAATGGGCCTGTTGTCAGGAGTGGCAACATCCATCTATATACACCTTTAATTCTAGCACCCAGGAGGCGAAGGCAGGAAGATAGCCTTGAGTTGAGACCAGCTTAGGCTATATAGGAGTTTTAGGGCTACATAACAAGACCCTGACTCAAGATAGATAGAGATAGCCCAGCGGTGGTAGCACACACCTTTAATCCCAGAACTTGGGAGGCAGAAGCAGTTGGATCTCTGTGAGTTCAAGGCCAGCCTGATCTACAAGAGCTAGTTCCAGAACAGGCTCCAATGCTACAGAGAAACCCTGTCTCAAAAAGGGGGGGGAAGATAGATATAAATATAGATAGATAGTAGATAGATAGAAGATAGATAGATAGATAGATAGATAGATAGATAGATAGATAGATGGATAGGAAGAAACTTACCTATGAACGTTACCAGTGTTATCAATGTTATTATTGAGAGAGGAAAAAAAGATTTGTGAAGAACTCGTGGCCCCAGTAGACTTCATTAAGAGCTGTACCCCAGCCACCCAGAGCTGACCCACTGGCCTCCACTGCTCCACCTTATGCTCTGATAGAAACCTGGACCAGCCCGTGTTAAGCAGCCTCCAGGACGTCGTTTATGATCTTCCCTCCTTTTACTTCTGCCTCCACTTTAGTCCCTACCTTCCTAAAGCCCCAAGCAGCAGCCAGAGGGAACTTTTGGTTCTAAGCATGAAGAAGTTAGTCATCAGCTCAAGAGCCCCCAGTGGTCTCTCATCTTCAACTTAGAATACATGCTCTGAACTTCCTCTGTGTTCTCACCTTGGGTTCTGTGATCTTGCTTGAATCACACTGGTCATTTTTTTTTTAAACCCCTCTAGTACCTTCTGTGCTGTGTAGGACTGGCTCGTAACCTCTGTTTCCTCTTCCTATAGTGCTTTTGCCCGGCAGTCTCCACGATTGCCTTGCACGTGTCATCTAGGTCTCTGAATCGCTGTGCGTTGTTTGGCCATCTTTTCTAAAACAGCGGCCTCTGTCGTACTCTGCCGCTTCCACTGCCGGATTTTTCACCGTAGCACATCTTACTTGTGTACTGATATCTGCACAGAAGTCCTGTGAGCTCAGGAGCACTCAGCGCCCTGCTGCTGCCACGGCACCTGGCTGCCCATGCTTTCCAAGACCCGTGAGGAATAGTTAGAAACCTGGCTCATGTGGGATGGGGTGGGAAATGAAGTCACTGTCACCAGGAGACCTGTAATAATGCAAATGTCTTAGATTTCTCAACATGGCCCCGATTGTTAATTTCCCAAGGCTCCTTTTTTGGGGATAAATGTGAGCAGGTCTCAGAAAACTTGTGTACATTTCCCTGGGTTTAATATAGATTTATTGCTCAGGCAAAGATGGGAACTATTTTTCCCCCTTCCAACAGAGGTTGGCCATCTCGGGATGTAATCAATATTAATGTGGTTTCCACACCCAATCATGCATGCTCTTCCAAATCTGGAAGTCCCTCACAGCAGCAGCCATGTTTGTAGAGCCTCCTGCGTAGCAGCTTTTGGATCCCACAGGAAAAGGGTTTTCTTTGATGACTTGGCATCAGTGAGTTCCGCCTTCCGCCACTTCGTGATCAGAGGCTTCCTGGGGACACCCTGGACTGAATGCCACATTCATGTGTTTTTCTGTTGTTCTTTCCATAGGATCTTCTACGTCTCCCATGATTCCCAAGACTTGAAAATCTTCAGCTATATCGCACGGGATGGGGCCAGCAATATCTTCAGGTGTAATGTCTTTAAGTCCAAAAAGAAGGTAAGGAGGCTGTTATGGGTCGTCTGCTACTTTTGTCTGATGAACCCAGTATGTATCTGTCATCGATTTGTCTCCCTGATTGAGGTTTGGAGGTGAATGTTTTAATATCAGAACTGGTAACACCACGTTAGTCACCTGTCAGTGCTCCAATACAATGAAACCCTCTTTGATTGTAGCATCATCTGAACTTTGTACTTAGTTACATATAGCAATAGAGAGCGGTCCACTGTTTGTTTACATCTTTTGAGAGAGGACCATATAGGCAGAACCAACAGAGATACTGACCTTAGCTTGCAGGAAAGAAGCATTAACTAAGGTGACCCTTAACCCCAGTCTTGCGTGTAACTCAGTAGTCCAGCTGTATTAGTAAATCGTGACATGGGGAATCTAATTTAGCTTAGGGTATGATATCGGTTGTCATGGGAAATTATTTTAATATGACAACCTTGACACTGGGTAAATGTAGTTTTTACACTTCTGTAGAGGTGCCCTTTCTCTCTGTCATTCCTCTAGGAAAGACGTACAAAACTAGGATTTGGAATGCCTGCCTGGGGAGTAGAAAACCTAGAATTAACCCCACCCTCCTACTGTAGTCCACAATGATTTAAGTCGATTGCCGCCCCACTGAGTCTCAGCTTCTTTAAAGATACATTGAGGATAGACAAAATTAGCATTTTCTTCTAAAAAATGTTTTATTAGCACATCGTAATTATACAATTATACATAATAACGAGATTTATGACATTTTCATACATGTACATAATGTGTTTCAATTATATTCATTCCAGTTACCCCATCTTGTTCCCTTCCCACTTTCTCTGATGCCTTAAAACCAGCACTTTCCAAAAATAAATGTATTTTTTAACATTTATCACCCAAAGTGTTCCATCTTATAACTACTGTATTTAATTTTCTGAGAGACCCTGATGTTAAGGAAGCCCCTTAACTTATTTAGTCTAGCATTTCAAAAACTGATTTGGCTACATAGCCATGATTTTTCCACGCAGTGTATGTTTTGGAAAGCACCCCAGCAGTTTCTAAGGCCTTACAGTTCTACTCTCAGAGATAAACCCTCAAGTCTGGCTTCTCATAAGACTCCAGTCCGCTGCCTGCACATCCCCTCCTGTGCCTTAAGGTGTCACTCGTAGACTCGTGGGTAATTTATCATGATCAAATGAGGTGATACAAGACCTGACAAGATCAAAATTCATTAATACATTTGTTTCTTGACATGAGGGAGGTTATGTCATGATTAACCCATCTTAAGTTGAAAATATTATAAACTGAAAATTATTTAATATATCCAATATAGTATCCATTATTGCTCAACAGCGCAGTACCTGTGGCTGTGGCTGGCTGCCACTGTCCAGTGCCACAAGCATTTCCTACTGAACACCATTAGTCTAGGGGGAAAAAACTCAAATTTTCAAGTATAATTTCTGCTATACATCCATACATATAGCTTTTGTGCCATCATATAGTCAAAAAGTTGCCAAATCAAACCATCATAACTCATATTATGTAGGTGTCTTATTTCCTATGAAGGAGGAACACACTGCTAACTTACTTTGCCCTCTAAGATCTGTGCCCTTACCCACTCTGTTTTTAGGTCTTTTGTGTATCGTTTGTTTGTTTGATTGGTTGATTGATCAGCTATACTAGGGATGGAGTTTAGGATCTTTTCCAAAGGTTCTGTCATTGAGCTCCATTGAGCTAAAGGGAACTTGAGTAGGAAGAAGGAGAGAGAATAAGCCCTAGTCACTGGGGATGGACGGGTTTAGGGACTAGGAGAGTGAGAGGCTCAGTGATGGATAGCAACTGAACTGTCTGCAGTGTTCTCTCGTGTGCCACCCAAGAGTGAACCACCCCTCCTTCCGCTGAGTTCTTACCTATGTAGTGATTGCAGTCTTGTACATAGACTGTGTACAACTTAGAGATTTGAGTTATAGATAACGTAGTCATTTACCGACTGCTTACATTGTTTATCTCATTTTATCTTTATAATGCATATTGAGGAAGGTAAAATAAATGCTTTTTATTCTCATTTTCATAGATTAGTAAGTGGAAACTCAGTCTGAGTGATTTGTCAGGTTCTCCTAGAAGGACAGTGGCTAGAACCAAGAAGACAAACAGAACTAAAGGATTTTGAGCAAAAAAAAAAAAAAAAAAAAAAAAAAAAAAAAAAAAAAAAAAAAAAAAAAAAAAAAAAAAAAAAAAAAAAACAAACAAAAAAAAACCATAGGTGAAGGAGATCCTGGATCCTTTTTGGGGATCTAGTCTGGTGGCACAGCAGGCTGGGGTGTCCTGCTGCCAAACCAGTGTGTGAGAATGGCCTCCACCTAGAACCTGGGTCTCAGTGTTAGGTACCGAATCGAGTTCCTATTGACCAAGGACCCGTTCTCTGCTTTGGGTCGCCCCGGTTTCTTTCACACCTCCTAGCTCTCAGAGCTACTTCTCCTTCTCCTGCTTTCTGTGTCCCTTTTGCCCTTACCTACTGAGTCTGTAGCTCTTCATGGGGTTGGTTCTCAGGCCCTGTGCTGGCCTGCAGCCATGCAGCTAGGAGAATTATTTCCAGACCGCCTTGACTATGAGCCCTGTTGCTGTTAAACTCTAGACAGGAGGACCCGTTTCCAAGCCAGGAAAGAGCAAGGAATTGTTCAGCAAAGGAAACCCAGTTTGGGAGGGGTGGGGAATGTGTCTGGGAGGCTTTGCACACCATCCTGGTTGGCCTCCAAATAAGTGTTTAACTTTCTTACAAAGCCCTTCTGGTTTCTGGAGATAATAGCTTGGGAAGGAGTTTTAATGGGCAAATCATAGGCATATTTAAGAGACAGGGAGAAAGAACTGTAGACCCTAAGGAAATGTATCTTGCAAGGATGGTTGTGGACCATTAAGAGTCACATTGGTGGGAAGCCAGGAGACCCAATGCTCTCCTGAGTTCTCAGATGGATCACAGCATAGAAAAGCCTTGGGTAAGTGTCTTGCTTGCTGTGCCTGAGATTTAGTTACCACTGTTCCACACCATGTCTCTCTGTGTGCCGGTGACATGTCTCTCATGATGGGCCTCTAATGCGGTGTCACCCTTGCTATAAAAAATGGGCTGTCTCTGCTGCTGATGGAGAATACTGGCCAGACATCTCAGTCTTCCTCTTTAAGGAATCCCTACCCCTAGCTTCCAACATGATTATTCTGTACCTCTGGATCTTTCTCTAGTCACTTACATGAATGACCCGTGTGCTTCTCCTCTTGGGGTTTAACTTGCAGCTGTTGGGCTCTCACCGGAAGCTAGACAGCAGATTGCTGCATGCGCCTTTAATCCCAGCACTCAGGAGGCAGAGGCAGAAGCAGGTAGATCTCTGAGTTTGAGGCCAGTCTGGTCTAGTTCCAGGACAGTTAGGGCTACACAGGGAAACCCTGTCGAGAGAGAGAGAGAGAGAGAGAGAGAGAGGAGAGAGAGA